GGCAAGGCACAACGCTTGTAATATTTCATTTGTTGTCTTTCGCTTGTGGATTATTTAGGGTTACGTTTGAGCTGACAGCTTGTAAAGTTTAGAGTACACCAGTGGCATGAACATTGGCTCGACTAAAGGTGTTTCATATTCTCGATTAAGAGAACAACGGTTTTGAAATTCTTTTTTGTTGTTACCATTTGGTTCTTGGGTAAAGTGTGATTACAACAAGTGTATGCTTTTAACATAATGGATAGTAGGGTTTTTGAATTAAGCACGATGTTGGGAAGTCGTGAGAGTGCCTCAGTAGTGGCACTCTCATATATATATATATATATATATATATATATATATATATATATATATATATATATATATATATATATATATATATATATATATATATATATATAATTTAGGTGGCCCTTATTTTTCAATATTTTTTTCTTTTCCTATGACACCCTTTATATTTTGTCCTACTTGTAAAAAAATAATTTGTACCAAATTTGAAATTTTTTGGAGCAAAGGATCACGTGGCACATTATCGTTAAAAATTTAAATTTTTTATAACTACTATAAATTTATATCCTTCTTATTTAAACAATTAGTTATAGTATATAGTATATAGGGCTGGTGGAGCTTAGAACATATGAATTCTGAGCTCCTTGAACCAATGGGAGCAATAGATATTGTAGTGTGGAGATATGTAGAAGTTGCCCTTATCACCTGATATGCTCAGTTCTTTAGTTACTTGCGCCTGTGGAAGGTAAACAAGTCTTACTAGTCTAAAAAACGATTTCGTTGTACTAATATTGTGAAATAAAGTAAAAGTAACAAATAAAAATCTACAAACAAAATGGCAACAAGACAAAAAGAGAAGCTGTATCTTCTTGAACATGACGAAAGTCAAATATAGGAGCCAAATTACCATCAAATGAACAAGTTCTGAGAGTTCTATTTTATAACCTCCGCAAAGTCAAGTTAAATTTACGGTCTAGTGCACATTTGGCGGTGAAAGAAGTAGAAGTTTTATGGGAAAAGGCAAGAATCCCAACGAGAAAGTTTCAGCGCAGCATTGAGAAATTGGAATTATTGTATCAAGAATGGAAGACATTACAGAAAACTTGTAAACGCCGAAATCAGCTACAGGAAAAGAAGGAGCAAGATTTTCTTAATAAAGTAAATGACTTGTTCGATATCGCGCATGCCAATGCATTGGAGATGATTAGTATTGAAGAAGACAAACTTTTCCTTATAAACCAAAGAAAAAAGGCCGACCTGGGTCAATGATTGGCGGAGATCGTGTTTTATAACTAAAAGAACAAAGAAAAGAATCTCGAAAGAAACAAGAGGAACTAAAGCGGTCTAGCCACCAAGTATTTCAAGGTATATTATAAATTAACCTGTAGAAATCATCTCATGATAAATAAGTTCTTTTTTCGTTTTAGAAAGTGAAGTAGTTGAATTAGAATTTTCAACAGATGATGAACAAATACAGGAAGAGGAAACAAATATTGATGCAGGTTTTTAGTCCACCCTTAAAGCAACCTGGGGAAGATTACAGAGAACTGATGGAGCTACTAGTTTGCTTTCTTGGTGGAACCCCTCCTCGGGGAATATTTTGTAGAGTTCCAGGTGCTTTCCACCACGCTAGGTGGATGGCAAAGGCAATCTATTGTATGAAAATGTTTCTGTTTCGCGAGGAGTTCGATTTGGGAGCAGAAGAAGCTGGAATTAGAGACATTTGTATTTTCTTAGCTAATTTATATGTTCTAGCCTGGACTTTCGCCCCTAATGCTGCAAAAGCACCTTGCCAAGATTTGAAATTTATTCAAGATCTTCATGCTTATGCCAAAATTGACGAAGATATAAGCCGTGTAGCATTAAATAAAATGTGTAACCATCTGTGGTACTTACTACCTGAAACAGCAGCAATGTCGTTTTTTAACAGCAACATCTCACTTGACACCAGAAAGCAAATGGTACACGCTCTCAGAAACAATGAGACTTTTGAAGAACCTGTAAAGAGACTTACAATATCACCGGATGATGTCGATAAATATGTAGGTCAAAAAATTGAGAAATTCATTTCAAAGGGCTCCCAAAAATTTTTTGACAGGTTTTCATTACCAACCGACTTTTTGGAGAAGGACCCTACATTGTGGGCAGAAGATGACAGTTATAAGAAATGTATGGAAGTTGTAAAAGGACTGAAGGTAGTTAATGATATTGCGGAACGAGGAGTGAAACTAATGCAGGACTATAATCAGATTTTAACAAAAAACGAGGACGAGAAGCAATTTATACCTCAAATCGTTTCTGACTATCATCGGAAATATCCAGATATTAAAAAAAAATCATTATGAAAACAGTTGTAATCATTTTATTATTGACAAAAAAATAACTATTGTACTCTAAAAAATATATATTTTAAATATATATTAATTTTAAAAAATTTGTCTTTTTTACCGATTTGTGCCACGTCTTGTTATTTTTTTTGTTATGAAGTTTTTCACAGAGTATTATTAAACCAAATGAAACAAATTGGCAGGGCGTCCTGAAAGAAAAACCTGTTTTAAATTTTCTCCATATACGTAAGGGCCACCCTAATATATATATATATATATATATATATATATATATATATATATATATATATATATATATATATATATATATATATATATATATATATATATATATATATATATATATATATATATATATATATATATATATATATATATATATATATATATATATATATATATATATATATATATATATATATATATATATATATATATATATAAAATGTCTCTCTCACACCTTTTTCTGTCAACCGTCATATTCATCATAAGTTACATAGATATTGCTTTTACACATGGGTTTATATAGATATTTTTAGGTTTAAGCCTATCCCCCAATGTGCACCTGTCGTGCTCTCGTACGTAATATAATTTGCTTTAACCACTAATCTAACAAGTATACTTATCGTTTTGTTTTTTTTTTTTTAAAGGGAAAAATTTTATATACCTAGTTTACATTATATTTATTACCCATATTTGTTATACTTATATACATAATTCATTAAAACTTATACACATTGTACACTCATTTGACTGTATGTATTTATTTATTCTTTAATAAAATACACTAGCTAGCCTACTGGAGTCTCCATACATCATCTAAAATGCACTATAAACATATTTTTTGTTAATGAGAAGCGGTGCAAATAACTAATACACCTTTTTGCTGACTTTTCATAGAGCCTTTAAAGGTTTTCGTTTTTTCTTCTTTGTTAAAGATAGTAATCATAAAAGCATAATTTATTTAACTTTTTTGTCTTGCTTATTTATTGTCAAACTATTATTAAATATTGTTAACCTTTGTTTTCCCTCGATCTGATTCCCATATTACAATGTATAAATATTTTATATAAGTAGGTACCCTAACTTACTCGAAGTTATACTATTTATTTATGGTATTATTATAATATTTGTAATGGATGGTATATTTGTTATAGGTGGTTGCAAACATGCATTAGCTTAATGTGGGTCCACCGACGTAGTGAAGAATCTGCACCCACCAATGTAGCTTCATATTAGGTAAAGCCACTTCTGTCCAATGTAGGCACTTCTCAAAAGTTTATAAAGGCAGAAGAGTTTTCCTAACAGTTGGCTGCATCCAAAATTAATGTTTCCTCTGATAATTCTTCGTTTAGAGAGTAAGTTTTAAATATTGGAAGACAATTTCATTTGGAAGGCCAAATATTATCATACAACTCCAACAGTGTGGAAGAAAACAAATTTGATAATTTGTCAATTTATCAGTTGTTGCTGAGTTTGCTTCCAGTGGTGATACAAGTTTCAAAAACTTTTTAGCGTTTGCTCAAGACAAAATGTCAGCAAAATTGTGTGATGAGGCTGAGAGGTTAACCCGTGGCCAAAGTACATCGCCATTGTGGCACGAAATGAAGTTTGCTCGAATAACAGCCTCTAAATTATATGAACTGGCTAGATGTCAAACAGCTAAGGAAACATTAGTTAAAGCAATAATGGGTGCTTATAAAGAGACACTAAATTTATGAAAAGGGATAGAAATTTAGAGAAGAAAGTGCTAAAAAGTTGTGGAAGAAAAATTGAAAGTCAAAGTGAAAGATTGTGGACTGTTTGTGTTGCCGTTATACCCTATTTTTGGAGCCTCACCTGACGGTATCACTTCGGAATATGTGGTAGAAGTGCCCAAGCACTGAAAATACTTTAAAAAATTATGTAAAAAATAACCAGATTATGGAAAAATTTAAAGCACAGGTGCAGCTACAAATGTTATGTGCAAATAAACAAAAAGGACTGTTTTGGAAAAAACAGTAACAAACATTTTTGAAGTTGAATATGACCATAATTATTAAAAAAAAAAATGTTTGATAGTTTGCAAAATTGGGAAAATTTTGTACTTCCAAAATTAAAAGAATCGATATGTTAAGAGTTTTGGTTTTCTTTGAAAATTGTGTATTCTGTTACTGAAATTGCAATTTGTTTTATCAGTATATAAAAAAAAGGATTGTTCATTAAGTGTAATTTTTTATGCATACAAATATATAAATAATTTGAAATAACAATAATTTTATTTTAATTTAAATTACATGAAATAGTTACAAAAGGTTTATATTTTACATATACAATGATAATTATCATTATTAGATTTGTACTTAAATACATTTTATATTTTCATTGTAATGAAAATGGAAGCTATTCAATAGCTTTAGTGTAACATAATACTTTCATTATAGTTTTAATAGTTTTATCAAATATTTATATTTATAGAGGACATAAATACTAATTTTAAAAATCTGTTAATTTAAAAATACTGCAATATATTTTTTTGTTTCCACAGATAAATTGTTTTATTTTATTAACAAATATTCCATATGAATAATTATTTTTACCTCGATTGGTAAACGATTGTAAATCTTATACAAATAGAAAGCAAAATTTTTTGTACCAAATGTTGGCTTCGTGGTCGAGTGGTAAGGACACTTGTCTCTCACCCTAGAGTCCCAGGTTCGACCCCAATCGAGGAGCTAGGATTTTTCTAAACCAGAAATTAATCCTAGCATACTCAAAAATCGGGTGTGTGTCCATAGTCTCTAAATGTGTAGCCCTATTGATTTGGAGAATTGAAATAATTTTTTTATTAATGTTTTAGTTTCTAATGCATATAATTCTGAAAATATAGATTACATTTAATTAGTGATTTAAATTTACCGGCTAATTTTCATTTTTGGCGTTTTTTAACAGATTTTTGGATGGTAAAAAATTCTGACAAAAACGGTAAAAGAAAATTGAACTCTAATATATACCCCTACATTGATCTGTCTGACTTTTAATGTGATATCAAACATGTATGTATAAAAGTAATGCTTAATTGCATTTATTAAGCCGGAAAAAATTGGGTTCAAAACGCTAAAAATTAAATTAGCCGATAAATTTACATCACTACACTGTATTCTTTGTAGAACAGTTTGTTACGTTACTAATTAACTTTTTATTTCTTGATAAATCAAATAGAAAAATTCTCATAAAATTCCTTTATTAATGTGACCGGTTTCGTGAACAAATTAATTACTTCACATCATCAGACTTTTTATTTGTTTCTCCCCCAAGCCAATAAACCATAACATAGCAGATTTTATTAATGCATTGTATACATTTTTTTTTTTTTTAATTTTAAGGATAATATATTTTTTAATATACGAAGGCAGTAAATAATTTTTTCTAATTTTATTGCAGAAGCTGAAAATATGTCAATTTATAGTCCCAAATATTTCCTATGATGTTTTTTCTATTTTTTTGAAGGAACATATTTTCTCATTTGTACAATTATTTTTGTGAATTTTTAAGTAAGTGATGTTAGGTAGATTATTTTTTATAAGATGTAAAAGTTATAAATTTGAATTTACTATACTTGCCCTATCTACATTTTCTTGCTATTTTATGTGTTTTTATGCAGTACATTGAAAATTAATTTTTAATTACCCTGAAGATAATAAATTTAAAACTAGTTTTCTAAAAAAGTTGCCTTTTTATTCAAAAAAACTTTTCATTGTTAATTATATATATTTTTATTTTATGTTGGAGTAGGTTTAGAGTTTAATTCAGTGCATTTTAGTTTTGTGATCTCATTTGTTACTAATATTGTATTTGAAAATAGATAGACACGAAGTCACTACCTTTGCTATACAATATGGTATTGCTTAATTTGGTTTTAATCAATCAATTAACATATCAACAAGCATAAAGGTGGTGGCTTCGCTCTAATATGAATACTGTATAGTGTATAGTTATTACTAATAAATTAGTGTATTTGTTAAATAAAGAAATGGCTAAAATTTTACTTTTTTTATGTATATTTTTTATTTATTTCTATTCAAAATAAAAATGTTAATTATAATTTATCTTTTAAAAACTATTAACTTATTTAACACCTATATATTTGACGTCAAAATGTTTGTCTTGAAGTGAACGATTCAAATTCAGTAGAATTAAAAAAATATATATTTTTGACTGGGCCAATGACTGGTCAAAAATAGTGATCAGTTGACCAAAACATTTGACCGGTCAAATTTACATTACAGTAAAATGTTTTTGTTTTCTGTTTCAAACAATATACAGATTAAAATACATGTATGAATAATGAATAAAATGGAATAAGGATATGTAATAGTTTATATATATATATATATATATATATATATATATATATATATATATATATATATATATATATATATATATATATATATATATATATATATATATATATATATATATATATATATATATATATATATATATATATATATATATATATATATATATATATATATATATATATACATATATATATATATATATATATATATATATATATATATATATATATATATATATATATATATATATATATACAGCAGTCCAGTAAGCAAATAATGCAGTCGTCTACATATCTTTTGTAGAATTTTGGTTTATTATAAACCAAAAGATAAAATAGAATATACGGTTAATATTTTCAATAATTATCACTCAAGGTTACAATTCACTAAGGAAATAGAACAAAACAATAGCATAAACTTCTTAGATTTAACAGTTAAATATAATAAGGATGGTATTATCGAAACCAACTGGTACACAAAAGAAGTATGGTCGCAAAGATACTTAAACTTTAAATCCCACACATCAAACAACTACAAAAAAAAGCGTCATCAATAGCCTAACAGATCGTGCCATCCAACTTTCATATCCAAAATACAGACCAAATAATTAGAAAAACTCAAAAAAGTTCTAGAAGCAAACTCCTTCCCTAAACACTTATGAACCAATAATAAAAAACAGAATACACAAAACCTATAATAAAACAACCCACACACCAAATAATAGTAATAATAAATATGTATCCATGCCATACATACTAACAATGTCCAAAAAATAGCAAACGTATTTAAACAACACAATATAAAAATAGCCCATAAACCATACAATACCACGAAAAAATTGTTCACAAAACTTAAATCTAGACTACCAACCGAAGATGAAACTAACACTATATACAAGATAAACTGCAACGATTGTAATGATAGCTATACATTACAACATGAAATCAATTTTTAGATCTGACCGATACAAAATAATAATTCTTGAAATAAAATATCTTATTATATATTCACTATTTAAACAAAACACCTACAATAAACCATATACATTTCCAACGTTATCTCTGTAACATAAACAAAACTTTAAGAGCCCATAAACTATGTTAAAATATCTCAGTTGCGTTAAAACAGACAACCAAATAACATCCCACTAAACATTTTTATACAGAAATGTTTCAGATATGTTTTAGAAACTGAAAATGACCTACCTCAAAAATGTTTCAGATGAAATATTTCAAAGTCGAAAAAGTAAATCAAGAATTTCTTAACGGAGGGGCGTTTTCCACATTTAATTAACGCCTATCTATTATGAAGCCCTCACAATATGTATATGTATATTGCTAATATATTGCTAACATTTCCTTTGAAACATTTTTGAGGTAGGTCATTTTCAGTTTCTAAAACATATCTGAAACATTTCTGTACAAAATGTTTAGTGGGATGTAACAAAATTTTAAAACAAATTCCTAATAATTAATAGTGTAAGTAAATTTTAATGTAAAATAACCATAACTATGTTTTTAAAATATTATACTAATTGTAGTTCTCTGATGATGGTGTAATAAACCGAAACATTAGAAAAAAAAATTAATTAGTTATACTTGACCGAAATCCCCACAAAAAAAAACTATCAATATTAATTGATATGTAATAGTGAAATGTAATGTCATTTTAAATTAAAATAAATAAGTTACATGATATAAAATCAGATGGACTTTGAGTAAATAAGTAATAAAATTTTATTACCTAATGGTTAATTTGTCTAGGAACTCATTTATTGAACAAAAGCCATTTAATAAGAATGATTTAATTTTGGAGGGGAGATCTATTTGACAATTTATTAAATAGCACAACACAGTTATAATACAAAGAAGTAAATTTTTCAAAATTGTCTTATGAATAGGAATTATCATAAAATTATTATGAAAAAAATGCTTGATAATTTTTGTTGGGGACTTCTGTCTATGTATGGTTATTAAATTATAAAATGTTTGGTCTTGCTACAAACCATTTTACTTAATTACCGAGGTTTGTAAATTAACGAGCACATGCAATAACAATAACGCTGTCTGTATAAGCAATTAAATTATGATCTATTACAGAAAAAGGTTTTAAATACTCAAACTTCGAACCCTACGAATAACCGTTCTATATGTATATGCAAACTGACTATACGTTTAGTTTCCAACACTTCGGCTTTTGTAGACTTCCCTGCACTGGATTCACTAGGAGATCTAATTAACTTACAGTTTCGTTCATGTAATAATTTGGCAATGTCCTTAAAGCCTCTGTCAGCCATGACACCACAGCCTACCGGAACAATTTCTAGGTAGCCACTGTCTTCGATTAATAGTGAATCACTTATTCTTCCTCCATATCCTTTCGATATAAAATTTATAGATCTGTCAAAGGTAGATGAAATAAGATACTTTAGAGTACTACATTTTTTGTATTCAGACCATGTAATGGCCTGTTTAACGGGATCAGATGGTTTTTCAACTTGAATTTCTAAGCAGTCTATTATCGACTGCACATTGTTGTACCGCGCTCTAAATGCAATAGGTAGCAACTGTTTTATTTTACTTTTTTCTGGCCAATATATTAGTGTTTTCAAATAATGTTCAATTTGCACTACAGACTGTTTGAATGTTTTTAAGGTGTTAGAAGTTGACATTCCAAATGAGTCTCCTAACCGGGATAAAGAATCATTTAATTTGATTTTCATTAGTGTCAAAAGTACATTATTTTTATTTAATTTAGTTTTTGAGCAAATCAACTTAATGAGGAAATCATGGATCAGGCACGCCTAAGTAACTCTTTGAAATTTTGAGTGACATTCAGTTTCTTGTCTTCCAATAACTTTACTTCGGTCAAATCACTGTCCGATGTTGTTGCAAAAACTGAAGAACTGGATTCTACCTCTACAGTCCCACTACTTGTACTTGGCTAAATAAAAATAGTTTTTTTAATACTACCAATGTTTTTTATTGGCGATGTAGCCACATCTTTTGGCATGAGAAATTTTACTGGTAAGGAAGCTGTCTGCCACAGATTAGATTTAATGTTACAAGTCACATATTTACTACGACACAACGGTTTGACTTGTACCGCCACACTTTTGATCTGCACAATCTTATCTGTCCATACATTCATCTACTCCTTCTTTCACATGTTCATGTGTTCCTGGTATGACTTGCTTTGAACTTGTATTGGGTTGATTAAAATCTATTACTGTTAATAACATTTCTGGGTCAGCATAATTTGTTTTCTGTGCCTTCCAAATTAAAGCCTTTTTCCCTAGATGCTTGCTTTGCCGTTTTAAAGAAAAGGATGGTTCTGGTATGGATGCAGCTCTTTTTCTGTCTTGTTGGCAG